ATGCACACAAATCAGGACAAAAATATTTTTAAAATAAAATTAAAATATGTTATAATAGATTTTGATTTTTAGTATATAATTGGAGGGGGGGAGGGGTTCTCGATTCCTAGATGGCAAGCCCCCTTCCCAAAAGGAGTACTTCTGGGGGCAAGGGGAAGGAGTTCCGGTCTCATGATGTTGACCAGGGGTTGGGGCATCTGTCACGGGGTGGGGCTACCCTTGCAGCCCTCGACAGCTCACCAAAATTCATTAAGAGGCCCTCCAGCTGAAATAATTACCTACCACACTTGTAAATACAAGTACTATCCTACTGAAGAGGGTTTTTCATGCACAGCATCGTACATGTAGACATGGACAGGGTTGGCTGCAGCATGGGGTGTTTCAGTGCAGGGGTTACCTGCCAGCTAGCCCCCTCACTGAAGCACCCTCATGCTGCAGCCAGCCCTTCCACAGCACGTGGAGCCGGGTCCCGTGCAAGCCAGTGCTGCTCCAAACCAGCTCAATGTGCTGGGGTCCTGGGCACATGATCAAACAGTGCACCTGGGAGCAATAAACTCCAGAGCAATATGTGCCAAATTAATTGCACATGTAGATGAGTCCACTGTGTCCAGGTCTCTCCACTCTACCAATACTATTAGATTTAATGGCATGATTTTCTCCTTTAACTTTTGCCACCCACGCAGATTTTCTCATGTCATCCCCAAAAAGTGGAATTACCCTCTACCCTAGCATGCTAAGCTACAAATCTGTTTTTCATTCGAACCCTTCTAAAATATGACTCCTTCAGTAATGCACAATAAAGGCATACATGTCTAGGTTTCTTATTTATTCAATCACTTTTACAGGATATTCTGATTTCTGTGTATCCAGTAGTAGGTGTTGAACAAACACAGACTAACTATTAATGATAATACTGCTACTATAAACTACCTCTGTCTTATTTTTCTATTTGCTGAACATTAGATCACAAAATAAAAAAGGTTATGGTCTTACTGCATGTGCATCACAAATGGTACTGGAAGGGCACTGCATAGGGTATAAGAGTTTCTCTTGATCATAATTTACATTAATCTGAACTTATTTCTCTGTCAGGTTCTGCTAAAAATATTTTAGGATATATGAAACCATTTATTCTCTGTCTGTTTCTTGTACTTTTCTTTCTTTCTTTTCATTGTTGTTACCCAAAAATATTTTTTCTTCCGACTGTAATTAAATTATTTCTTGGGAAAAAAATGGGAATTTTCCATTGGAAACTGCAAACATAACATACATCAACTTTATTTGCTAGAATGAATATGACCCAACCAGGCATATATTTCTTTTGTACTAGAGCCCTACATGGAATCTTAAAATAACATTTTTATAATATCTATTGCATCAGGAACAGTCTAGGAATGCCCTTTCCATTCTAAAATATAGCAATATCCTTGCTCAATTTAGTAACAGATCACCCTGACTCTTCTGGGTGAGGGACTGGGTTCTAACATCCAATTTGCATCTTCCTTATTACAGAAGGGCAAAGTTAGACCACTAATATGTTCTTTATGAAAAAGATATGTTTACACATTAAAACAGGACAAGGTTACTCAGTATTTTGCCATCTTATAATGATCATTATGGTCTAAATTTCACAATCCTCGTTCAATTGTTAAATATTATCATTGTGATTTATTTATTTATTGTACCACAATTGTCTCCCAAGAGGTCTATCTGATCATAGCATGCAAAAATGTAATGATAGTCCTCCCATAAGAGACAGTGGACCTTTTGCCATAATCTGGTTTAGAAATTTAGAAAATTAATATTTATCTGCCCCTGGCTGCCGGTCATGTGGCTCTCAATGGCTTGCCAAAACTCAGTAAGTGGCCCTCTGCCTGAAATAATTGCCCGCCCCTGTTCTAAAGTATGATAACATTACATCAGTAAGAAGAGTAATAGCATTTCCTCTTTAAATTAAAAAATGCAGGTTTGTATTGAGAGATTTGTTTTCCTACCTGTGGATCATTCAGTTTCATAAAATTCCCAACTCAGTTAACGTTCACACACTGCCATTTGAGATAATATAAAAGTTCCCAAGAAAAATGGGGGAAAATGCTAATAAATTATTTTGCTGTAAAAACATTATTATGTTTGTTGCCTTAGGGTACAATATTGAAGAATATTTTTCACTTATTTGAACATTATAAGGAAACATTTTATGAAGCTATTAATCAAACTAAATAAAATGTTTTGCACTATTTTTTGTAAGGGTACATACCTTTTCTGAGTGCCTTTTTTCTAGTTTTACTTAAAAGTATGTACGTAAATAACTCTTTTAAAGAGGCATGGAGGGAGACTACAAGCAAAGACTTCACTGCTTTATGCCAATAAGCCTCTGGCATTTTTCTCCTCAATTTTGATCATCTCATAAAAAGTTAAGTAGGATGGGGATGCATTTGGCAGATCCTGTTTCTGAACCTACAGGGCAACTGCAGCCAGCACCAGTAATTCAAGCAGATGATAGCCTTGCAACTTTTGCCTCTTGGAAAAAAAAAAAAAGTTACTGTGGGCGCTAATGGATGTTAAAAAAAACCAGCACTTTTTAACCGGAAGAGGAAGCACATTAGTTTGACCTGGCTCCCCAGCATCTGTATAGACTGGTGCTTCAGTAGGGCTTTTTGGCACTTTTATTTAATAGCCAATTCAATCAGCTATTAGATAAAAGCATTAAAAAACCTCCGCTGAAGCGCCCAATCTATACAGAAGTTGGGCGAGCTCCCCCAAGTCTATAAGCAGCCAGTGACATCAGACTGAAGAAGCATAACTGAGCACAGGCTGAAGAAGTTTATATTTTTTGCTTGCTGCATGCAAATAAGCTGAATTAAGCCTAATGGACAGTTTCTCTACAAGAAAATCCTACTATTAGAAGAAATGGAATATTCTGATCTACATCAGATTAATGCTGGGTGGGGGGGGGTGTTCCTAGCGTATTAATCCATCCATTTATCAATACTCAGGAAGGCAATAATGAGTGTTTATTATCCCCATGTCAAGTAACTGCTGGAATTTGTTTCTGTATTTATACAAGAGTTAAAACACTACTGAAAGAGGACAGGAAAGTAAAGTTCTTCATTAAATCCATGCTCAGGTTACAAATAACCTAAGACTTTGCCCATGGTTACAGGAATGCAATAAGTTAAAAATCTGGTTTTAGAAGTAGCAATAATAAATCTGTGCTTTAGTTTTCTGTCATGGACTGGATATTTAACAATTTATAGTTGTTCTGTACACATATCTTACCAGTGCAAGCTGGATATTTGTTCTTGTTCTGGGGTGATCAAAAGCCTTTGAATCTCAAACAAGTTATAATTGCTTGTTTCAAAGGGTTTTTGGGAAATGCTTTGCAAATCTAAAACATTAAGACTATGTATTATGATATTTATTCTCTAGTGCATTATATCTTCTTAGCATTGTTCAAACTTTAAGATCTTGATTAAGCCTTTGAGGCTTTGGCTCACATTAGGGTTGGTCTAAAATGCCCCACCTTTATGAAAGCTCTGGGAGGTATTGTGCATCAGGGAAGCTTAGTGACCCACTGGAGTAAAGGTTCTGCATCTTCATGTCATCTAATGGAGCTAACTTGTTATGAAAAGGAGCATATGTCATATCTTCCTACAGGATGGAGCAAGCTGCATGTTTAGCAAGCTCAGGAACTGTTATGCTTGTCTGAAGCCTCCTGCACCCTCATCTGAGCTGGTACAACCACACAATGATTTCAACACAAAATGGCATGTTCATGCCCCAGTTATACAGCTGTGCCCTTTAAAGCACACAACATGAACTTCCTGCCTTACCAGCTCTCTTGAAACAGAGCAGACTTCTGGAGTATGCATGAATGTAGGATGTGCAGTCTCCAAGAAGCTTCATAGATTCCAAAAAACCTTGCATGTTATGGCAACCAAGCCAAAAGTAAAATTTGCATTCTGCACCAGGTTACAAAAATTACAGATGAGACAGCCAACCAAACAGAATAGATGCAGTAGATCAGCAGCTCTAGCACAGATGCAAGACTACTTGAGAGGAGTCATACTTTCTGACCATGCGCCTAACCTAACACAAGCCAAGCATGCTCTGCTGATAATGTAACTGTCTTATATGGTCCCAATCACAAGGAAAGATGGATTCAACCTAGGCTAACTTTGTGCTACAAACACAAAGGATTTCCCTCCCTAATTAGCATTACTGTATTTACTTGAATATAAGATGTTCCTGACTATAAGGCAACCCCCCCCAATACTTAGATTCTATATATGGAAAATGTATACATCTGTTATGATTTTCCAGGTATAGAATCTAATTATTCAAGGTTTGCCTTCAATTTGTCCCCCTGCACTGTTACATCAGGAAAAATAAATCTAGGACGTCAAGTAATTCCCTTGCCTGCTGCCCCCTCCCCCCACCCCCCGCAACTTCTTCCCTGTGCAGCCCCTTTCTGCCAGCCCTTGCTGTCAGACCCTGCTCTCCCTGAGCAAATGGAAGAGAGGGGCAAATTTAAAAACAATGACTTTGAAATAAACATGTCTGTAGTAACTTGCAGATAGGCAAATTACTACAGGTACCCACAGACTTAGTTCGGCCAGAATTGAGGCATTTAAACTTTTTTTGCAAACTTCTGCATGTTTTAGCACAAGTACTACATACATGCACCTTTAAGCAGCACTTCTGAACTTAGTTATACATAGTACACAATTTTCTATTTCTTTTGTTTTTAAATTTCATGACTTGGGTCAAATGAACCAAATCAGTTTTGAATTCTATCGACTCAGAGGAGCTCAATTGTTCTAGTCGGTGTGGTGCTACCACCAGAAAGTATCCTATCTCCCAGACACTTCAGCCTGGGGCTTCAGATGCTCCCAAATCTATGGCAGGGATCTATGTGCAAGCCCCAAGCCCAGAGGCCTTGGAGTTCAGATGTCCCCTAGTCTCACTTGCCCCTAGCCAAAAGATCGAAGGAGCAAGCTAAAGGGAAAGCCTGAGAGCAGTCCCCCATCACTATAAATTGTGTAGCCAAGATCCTCCCACTGAGAGGCTTTAATAGACTCTCATAGGGGTGGCCTGCCCACAGTGCAATGGACAGGTCTCTACCCTCTAGCTAAGGCCAAGAAGGGTACCTCCCCTGCCTGGTAAGTAAAACCACCTGGGCTGTAAACCACCTCATGGTGGTATCTCCCCAAAAAGGTAAATATACGTAGTACAAACTATGCATGATATTAGTCCAAAGCCAAAAGGCTCACAATGTATTATATAGTTAACAGCATTTCAAGCCATGGTGACCCCACAGACCAGTACTGGTCAGTATGTGTATGTTCTCCAGATATCCCCCACAAAGGATCCATGTGCTACCTAGCTTCCACTGATGACCAAAACTGTATGTTCCTGTCCTGGGATCCTTCAAAAGTTTGTATGCGGATGAGATGCAGAGCCACCGAATCCTGGTCCACCTCATGGAGGGTGGGACCACACTAATCACATGTGACAGGCCAAGAGAGAGGGTGACAGAGCCTCTTACCTAAACAGAAATTTGGTGCTATTTGCCAGATATTTAAGGCTGATGAAGAAGCAGGAACCATTTGAAATAGGAAAGAAAGGCACAACTCAGCTGTAGGAGTGAGGAGGAAGCCAACATGTATTCAATATAGTGGTTTACCATGAGCTGAAAAACAGTTGTCACTGAGCACAATGGGCACTATATCTTACTCAAATGGGCTACACTAACATATCTTTGTGGTGGGTTTCTGAATTGTTTTCTGAAGGAAAGAAGATGGTGGGACCACTCAATTTTTATATTATAACTCAATGGTTAGAACACTCAACCAGGAAGTGGTAGATTTTTCCCCTCCTCGACCTGAGGCATTTCAAACACACATGCCCCACCTACAAACTCCTGGAAGACTGTTTCAGGCTCAACATTAGGAAAATCTTCTTCACAGCTAGGGCATCCAGACTGTGGAAAAAGCTTCCTCCATAGGTGGTACCATTACCTACCCTAGAAATCTTCAAAAGGAGACTGGACAGTCACCTGGGCAGGGTCACCTGACCCCAGTTCTTTCCTGCCTGGTGCAGGGGGCTGGACCCGATGATCTTCCAAGGTCCCTTCTAGCCTTACAGTCTATGAATCTATGAATCAAGTGTTGAGCAATAAAATACCATATTGAGCAATAATATTGCATTAAGCAATAAAACAGCATATCTACCTGCATCCAGGAGTGGTAGGACAAATTTAAGATTATTTTAACAGAAAATAATTTGTTATAATTTTCCATGTATCAGATGGAACACACTGGGCACATCCAGATAAGTGCGCACGTGCCTCTTGCGGAGTCTCAAACCAGTTGCCCCATGGGCTGAAGACCCAGGAGGAGCTGGGCAAGGTTATTTTTGCCCCAAGTGGCACACCTTGCCCAACACCAAAGTGCATGTCTGGGCACATGCACAGAGGCAAAAATCCCTGGCTCAAATTTGTGCTGCTCCTATTGGAGCTACTGCAAGCGTATATGCCTGCATGTGTGGACACGCCCACTGAGTCTAGCCAGACATTGACTATCTTTCCCTCATTATAAATTAATATTTTTCACTGTGTATTATGGTAATTTGACCCACAGTCATAGCGGGAACTAACCCAGAGATGGCCTGAGCAAACTGCATCCTGAATGAAGTCTCCTCTGAAACGTCCACACTGTCATCTGTCTGCCCTATGATGAGGTAATTCCAAGGGCAGTGCAAATGATTCAGCTGCACAGGGCACAAGGCCATTCAGGGTCCATCTGTGCTAGCTCCTAGACTTTAAGCCACGTAACACAAGGGCAGCGCTTTGTGCAGGCCAATTAGCCCGGTTCCTCACACAGCCAGTTAGCCTACACCCAGCATCATGCGACTGCAGTTACGCTGTTCCTAATTCACAAACTAGCATATGCAGAACTACCCAGGTGTTTTGCACAATGCTGCCTAGCACCAGGTAGACATACCCATTGCAAAGCAGTGCCATTGCTGAAGTAATATGTGAGGGGAAGGGGTGGTAACACCCTGCTAGAACGGTATCTTGCAGGGATAGGGGAGTACACCTTGGGGAAAGGCACATTTTTAAGAGCTTAACACAAAAGTTTCACAGTATACGTGACTTTTTCCCATTTTGTGGAGAAGCTGGGAGAAGTGAGGGAAATAAATGCTTCCTCTGCGCTCTTCCTCCCTTGCACATATATGAAGGAGACAGCCCCAATTCTCTAACCTCCTCCAGGCAAAAACTGATTGAATTCCAGTTCCAATTAAAGTCAGTGGCAAAGCTCACAGATTTCAGTGAAGCCCATATTTCACCCTCTTTCTCTGTATTTGCCAGGAAAACCTCCTGCATACCCACTATGTTCCATAAATAATGAACAACAAGTAGTGTCTACACTTACAGTCTTTTCATGAGGATCTGGGATAGCATTTTTTTCACACACAGTATCACCACTGGGGATAAAATGTGTAGATCATAGTCATATCAACTGATTAACCCACATCATCAACCTTACAGCAAACAAGAATGCATTTTCTGGTCCTACTGTATCCATTCCTTTCTATTTCTTTCAACTATATGTAACCTAAAACTTTCTATTATGCACCACCATATTATCATCTTCATCTGATTGAGGTGAAGCTGTTTTCTTTCATTCAGCAAGGCAACTAGGCTATGTCTAATCTACACTAAATTGCACCAGTATTTTTTTTCACATCATGAGTCCTTTTCTCTATTGTAAACATTTAAATGGTTGGGAATGTTAGTCGGCTCATTTAAGATGTGCATGTATTCCCAAGGGGAAGGCTATATACTTTCTGGTTGCATATTTCTAGCAGGTTTTCTGCTTAACAGTACAACCACTCACACAAATTGCTAGAAGATTCGGTGTCACAGTCACATCACCTCACACAAAAAAGTCAGAATTCTTGATGTAGACAGAAAAGAATAATGCTATGTGGAGGTACATTTTCTCTGCCAGTTCACACAATACAAATCGCACAGCTGACAGCACAATTCAGAAAAGACACAAAACTACTCAGATCTAAAGGGTAGCTCCCCAAAATCTTTTTGTACAGATCTATTTGTCAGTAATGGTTGAGAAGAATAATTCCTAGGCTAAAAGTATTCTTATCCGTAGTTGAATGAATGCTATTGAGTCCAATACTGACTAAGCTGTGTTCAAATGCCTGTGTTGCTAACTACAAAAATCCGCTTTCTTTCTTTAATCAACAGATGCCAAACACTGTAAACCTCCATGCAAAATGATGAGACAATAGTGCAGAAAATAGAACTGGCACAGAAAGAAAAATAGGAAATTTACATATTTTTCTCTTTTACCCACTGCTTGGTTGTAAAAAAAAAAAGATTACTATTGATTGATTCAGACATATGCTTAAGTTGTTATTACATAGAGATTTCGTATTAAACAAAACTAAAATAAGAAAAAAGGCAACTAAATAAAGAATGTACATCAGGCTAAATCTAATTAACAACTATATGGAGAAAACAAAAGAGGCAGTGGTTAGGAAAAGTGAGGAAATTGCTTCCTTCTGTGGAGATGAATGGGAAGAAGACAAAAAGCTTTCAGGAGGAACCTTACACAAGTTCTGGTAAGGACACTCATATGTGCAGATTCAGGAATCATCCCACATTTAGGTTGGGGACAGACACTACACATAAACTGGTTTAAGTGATCAAATACTGGTTTAAACCTGTAACAGAATTTATGATCAGTGCATATAAACCAGTTTGAGAATGGCTGAAACTGGTTTGAGATAAAGCTCATTGAATGTAGTATCAAACTTAAATGATTTGGCTCAAACCAGTTTATGCAACATCTGTCCCAGACCCCTTGCTGGTTTAAGATAAACCAGATACCCCCAACATCCCAGAATGCTCTCTGGGCTGGAAGGGGCTCTCTGCTCCACAGCAGAGTTGGCCCCACCCCTCTGCTCCCTGCCTGGAGCTCCAGGGACTGCAGGCTGCTTCCCCGCTCCCCTTCCCACTGTCTGCCAAGAAGGAATTTCCCCCTCCCCTCTGCCTTGCTGAGGAAGTGTCCGTGTATTAGGTAGCACACCACATGCTGGCTATGGTTTGTGCTGAATCAACAAGTAGCTGGTAATGTCCCTCTGTTGTTTTCTTAGTTGGGTGCTAAACACTGTTATCAATTTCCTGCTGGGCTAATCAGAGCCTGCTGGGCCTGGCCACACCCTCCTCAGCTCCATGATGTGGAAGGGAGGGCTGCTCTAATGGCCCCTGGCTTCTAGCCCAAGCCACTGCAGGCACATGCCTGTATTTCTGGGATGCCTGTCCAGTTACAAAACTGATTTAGCTTAGCCAGGTTAGAATAACCTGCAAAGATTGAATCGATTCAGGCTTAGGATTTTTTAATGTCTGGCCCTAGCCCTAATCACAAACTGGGCCTTTGGCAGGGACATATGTGAACTGGTTTGAGGCTTTTCAGATGATATTAAAAAGAATTTATATGGTGGCTGCAAAGAGAGGGTTGGAGGGTAACGAATGAGAAATTGACAAAACACTGAAGGAGGCTGAGAATACAGCCAGAGTGGAGGTGTTGGGCCAAAATGAAAGGCAACAAGAAAACATGAAAGGGCTGTAATATGTTCTCAGAATTTCCCCCTGTCCTGTCACTACACCTTCCAGTTCCCTTATTTAACTGTGCTCCTTAAACTTCACAGTATGCAGGTTTGTCAGCTGTCTGTAAACTCACAGATAGTCTGTAAAAAACAAATGCCTGTCCATGAAGTCTAAAAAACAGAGCTGTCCATAAAAGCTAAGAAACAGTGAGCAAATTGGAAGATCTGTTGTTGGTATTGGAATGAGGCGAAATTCAAGTGCCAATGGATAGACTGAGCAAAGCAGCACCACCTAATGTCTAAGTGGGACAGCAGCTTGGCACTTTGCAGGGTACTGACTGTCAGGACTTTTTGACCCAGGGGAGCCTTAATAGCCCCTTCCCTCGTCCTGTGCCAGCCATGAGCTGCCACTGCATGTCCTGGCCATTTCCTGCCTATAACTACTCAGTATTCACTTCAAAGCTATACAAGGTAGTGCAGCCCCAAGCTGGTCAGTTCAGGGAGGGAGGTAGTGCAGACGTGGCTGAGCTGTTGGGC